TAATTTCTATACCTGCTTCTCAAGTTCGCATGCTTCATTAGGCTTACCGTGCATGTCTGACAAGAGTATATTCTCTAACTGAATAAATGACTAGTCATTTTGGAAATAAAATTCTATATAAGCTTATACTTAATAGTCTGTACTTAAAGACGACTCATAACCTTTAAGTTTAGTGATTGGTCACCTAGCAACATTTTCGTCAACAGTTGTACCTACGGTATTACATTGTTGGTTTTAAGACCCAAGTGACCAGCCAATAAGGCGGCGGCGTGGCGTGGTCCTACGCGGTCAGGCGACTAGTTAACTTGGAACAAGCTTATTGCTCTGGGCTCAAAAGACCACGGATGGCGTGATCCGAAACTTAATATTAGCCAACTTGACTAAACTAACATTTGCTCACATATTAGCATTACAAAACGCTAGTGAGCGTTGGAAGTTGTAGAACTGAGAACTCAGAACATTATGATGATGAGTGCTTGCTAAAATATTTGACTGTAACACTATGTCTTTTGTGTAGAATTAATGTAGTTATCTAACACTATTTGAATAACATTCATTTCTTCGATTTCTTGTTCATTTATTATGATATGTATGAAGTTTTTATTGGTTTAAGAATGTGAAAGACATTATTTCGAATTATAAATCCATAACTTATACAATAAAATGAAATTGCCGAATGATATGCGTAAAAGTACCTACTTTAATTTAGTTCGACAGCGACGATTGATGAATGAATAAAGTTCAGACAATAAGGACTTTAATGCTTTGCTATAAAATAAGAATTGGTTCACATATAAAGGAACAAAATAGTTTGATGTTATAGTATTATAAGCGTTATGATGTGTAGTAGTGTTTTCGAGTTATTTATGGCTTGTTGGATATGTCAATTACCTATAAAGTAGGATACAGTCGTTATATTTGATGTGTGACGACTTAAAGGCGCCTCGGGAGGGTTTCACACTTAGTACGCAGATATGAGATGCGCACATTATTCCTTCAAAGTGATGAATAAGGGTAGAGAAAAATACAGGATTTTTAAACAGAAAACCCTTTTACAGAAATGAGTTCTAAACAGAAATTAGTACTTTTTTTAAGAAATTCAGAGAGTAATGCAAGATCTGTTAATTTAGTGAACTATGTGAACTTATGTAATTTATAACCTTATGATATACATAATAATATGTATTTCTTCTGTTTAACAATATCCGTTAACAAATGTATTAACATATTGTCAGTGCCAAGAAAATGTGCTATCCATATCACTAATCTTTATATTTCCTTTGACGCTTCCCAAAACTTCTCCACACCTTTAAACGTCTTAAATTTAATAGTTTCCTAATCAACAGTAATTCGGGCCGATCATTGGGCAGTTTGCCATTTAGGGCTGACCCTATTAACAATAGGGTTTACATAAGACAGGTTCTAATGGCGGTTATCGAGCTGGATTAGTCTGATCAATTAAAGGCTATCGATCGCGGTCAGATTTGCTTTATTCTTGGAATCTCAGACCGAAGGCTCTAATGGAAGTATTTTTATCGCAGTCTGAGAATGAAATCGGTACGGATTTTAATTCAATATTGTAAAGTGGCTGTAATTTACTTTCTATTTTTATATGTGGTGTGGTGGCTGATAATATTGGTTTCGAGGAAGAGATTTATCTAACATTCATTTGATGTATGTTTAATAACGTTTATTTTGAAGTTTGAGAACTTTGCTTAATTTTATTTTCACGTATTTTTAACCGTTATTTAGGATATTAGTCGTATTTAACTTGTAAGCAAGGACCAATTACCTTTAATGGTGTGTATGTCGTCAGGGTAGAAACGTAGCTTTGTATTAAAATCAATACCTGCATGTGTGTTTAAGTAGCTTCAGTTACATACCATTTGATTGGCTTAGAGACGCTGAATGCAAATTCTCTCTTCCTCCATTTACCAATCACGCGCTAATTAATTTGTCACTGCAATTTTAGAGGTATTATTAGCATATTGCCCTATAGATTTTCTGGAATATAATTAGCCAAACATTATGTATGCTAGCTGGTCTTCCGATATATTCTTGGGGTAGGAAATAATTGCGAAGAACATGTATTTAACAATCGTATTGCGATTTATTTATGTGTGTAAATCACTTTCTAAGATTGTTTAGACACCACTGACAAACGGTGAAGGAAAACATCGTGAGGAAACCTTGGCTTGTAATTTCTAATTGTAAGTTTGTAATCGCCAACCCGCATTGAGCAAGTGTGGTGATTAATGCTCAAACCTTCTCCGTGTGAGATGTGGCTTTGCTCAACCGTGGGCATTTATAGGCTGTTGATGATGATGATGGTAAATTTTAAAGTTCATTGTTTCATTTACTTATCTGTTAATAGATTTGTCTATTAGATATAGGATTTTGACACGTTTTATGTGGAGCTGACGGCAAAATTCTATCTCTAATGGATAAATCTATCGAAAGATACGTGTTTGAAAGTAGTTATTTATAAATAAAATGTTTTGCTCTTCTTCTTAGCGTTATCGGAAAATTAAGATCTTTTCTTGATAAAATGCTCTTGGAGTTTGTTGATGTTTACACTGACAGTAAACAGTTTGTGTTTAGTTTATCCAAGGGAGTGTTTATTAAGCTTATCTTTTCTTAAGAACAGCGTGGTGTGAGCTGTTTTTCTCAGCGTAGGTAATAGTATTTTGATTAAGTTGCTAACGTGGTCTACCGCCTCACGACATACATGGTCCTTGAAAATTGGGAAATAAATAATGGTTAATTTCCTGACTAAAATACTAGACATGCGTTTTAGAGATACTATGTAAAGACATTTTGTTTTAGAGCATTGTATGACGTATTTTATCGCGCTATTTACGATTTAATTGTACTAAAAGTTTCATTGTAGGTACCTACCTATACGAATTCTGTGATTACTTTTCAATTTCGCTGTTCATTGAATATGATACAAAACCCGTCCGTTTATTGGAGTATGTAGTCTAGTCGTAAGTATTCTATGATAGTTATTTAATAACAGTCGTCATTCCGTCGGTCATTCAGTATCGGGAATTCAGATATAGTTCCTCATTCCTCTTTGGCTGGGATTCTATTGAGTTTAACTGATTGAACACGATTTAATCGGTGTTTCGTGTCTAACCAACGCCTCGATTTCTATTCAATCGGAACGCTGCGCAGTTCCGACGAGTGGGTACCAAGCAGTGTAGTGCTGCTTCAATCTTTGTTAGTAACCATTCAAATGAATGAAGTTAATCGCGTAAGAGATGCAATCTATTCCAATATTGGACTATGTTGTGCTTTTTAAACTGTTTCGCTAGTATTATGGCGGGACAATTTGAGCTACCGGCGCCAATATTTAGCTTAATTTTTATTGGGTTGTTGCTAATGGACACGTTATTAATTGTGATTTGGGAATGAACAGTAGATACATAAATACTCGTACATCTAAGATGTTAACAGTTTGGGACATTTTAGGATTTTGAAAGGTAAATAATAAGTGCTTTTCCTTGTTTTACTGGCAACGCTATAGCCCATATACAGACGTATTTAGAAAGCTTATAACATGTCTTGAAGAAATAGATGTTCTTCAAGTTTGAACTTTTAAATATTGTGGTTTCTGAACTTGTTGGGACCAACTGATGGAAAGGAAATTACTTTTAAAATTAAAATGAAAAGGAACAGTAAGGTGTGCTAATTGGGTATAATTTTGTGTAAGGTTTATTTGTGGTCATTCACTAACGAGATAACTGGCTCAATTACCTCGCACAGAAATTAAATAAGAGTGAAAAAGAACCTCAAATAAAAGAGTCAGCAAATATCAATGTGGGATAACGCAAGAAAAACGAATAAGATGTTTTTCGCGCTGCGATGCCAACGGGATTACCGAAGACGCGGCTTGGCTTTGATATTCTTTTTACTTATTCTCTGATAGCATTCGTCCATGAGTGGCCTTTTCATTCAAGTATTTTGTTGCTCTTTCTACTAATAACTTTATAGATGGAATAAAATGTACGAATCAAGGTATTGGCTTCTATTTTTATTGGACGGATTAAAACGCCCATGCATCGCTCTAACACTTTTATTGTTTAAATCCAAAAGGCCATTCAAAAACTAGACGACGCGAGTAATAAAAACAAACTGAAAAAATTAAATGCAATCGGTAGTTTAATCTGGTCTGTGGCAGTCGAGGGATATACGAATGTTTTTCAATTAAATTGAGTGAGAGTATCGAATCAATTTTGTAAATATTGGACATTTTGTGGTAACCGCGTAACTTTTATTGTTTTCCTTCGAAATGTTAAAAGCCACTGTTTATTGTCGTTTAAATTTAAACAGGTAAAGCGGCGGTCAGGGAGATTTATACTGATATGTGAATTGGGAAGGTTTTTTTTGATAGAAGTTAAGTAGTTTGAGAGAATGGGTTGGTTATCGGTGAAGTATTTCTCGTTGGCTGATACAACGCACCTAGCGTTTTATGGTACTGGGGGTTGAGTTTTGGCAACGTTGGGTTATAAAAAGGCAGTCGTAGTGCGTTGCTCATACTTAATGATGTTTGCCGCGCTGAAGGCGTCACTGATTTGGCACCGGGCCAACTTCCTTGGGCTTTTGTGACATCAGCGTGCAACTGTTGCTCAACCGTAGTTATATCTCGTACCTAAATGGTAAGAGGAGACTGTTGCTTGCTTCCGAACTTTATCCTTTTCTTATGCTTTGCCATGACTCAAAATTTAACTAATCACCATGCCAATTAACACTGTTTACACAAATTTTGAATATGGTACGTATTCAATATTAAAAAGTCGCACGCGAAGCTTTGGATGATCAAATGAAATTCGCTAGACATGAGACAGTCGCAGGAAGCACAAGTTAGGAGCAAGTTCGTAAGTGTGTACAATTTATTTATGATGCAAAGTTGTTGACCGTCGGCGTCGCGGTCGCGTGCTGGAGCGCGGCGTCGCGCGGGACCTTGGCACTAGTTGCGGCCGTGTGGGGCCTTGACATCAGCGCGCGACCAGAGCTGTCACCTGCGGAGGTTCCTTACCGTTGTAGAGGAGCGTTGGCTCGGGGTCTCTGGGAGAAGGACCCGGGGCGGTGGCGGCGGGCGCGGGGCTGCGGCCGCGCCCCTCGCCAACCACGTCGATCTCCTCGTCAGACTCCTCGGCCAGCTCCGCCGCAGGGGCCACCTTCCACTTCTTGGCCATGAGGCAGCGCGGCATGGCGGCGCCCGCATCGGCCTCAGCGCGGCCGCATCAGCGAGAGACAGACGAACAGAGAAAAAGAGAGAAAAGAGAAAGAGCGGCGCCCCGGGCGAGCGGCTTAGCGGGCGATCGCGCGCGTCCTCTTGCGGTTGTGGGGAGCTGGTGTGAGGGTAGCGCTTTATATAGAACGCGGGGTGTTGCGCGCGCCGCCTCTTCGATCGCTGGGAGCGGAGGGGTGCTCATACTACCCCGCACAAACTTTGCTCGCCGCGCCAACTTTAAGCGACACTTGACGGGACGAGCACCGAACCCCACACACGATCAACCAGTGGACTCTAGTTCACCCTGAACACACGCGACTTGCCTCGATAACACGCTGGAGATAAGCTTATATCCAAGCGCAGAGAAAATCGCGGCGCTCAACTTTGCCAGACATTCAATTGTTTTATTTACTTTCAAACAGTTTGTTTGAGTAAGTAAAGTAACATAGAACTCAGCAAATGCATTTATATCACTGTAGATACAAGCTAAAGTAAAGGTATTGGCTGTTGGAATCGTATATTTAAATGGTTTTTAAAGTTTAGTAGTTCGAAATATTAATTTTAAAAGTTTGCAAAAGTTTTACGGCGCGCGGCGGGAAGCTGGAAAATGTTCATGTTTCTTTAGAATTGTTATGACATGGATAGTTCATGTGCAGGGTAGGTAGAAAACAAGGTTAAGTTAATAAAGCGTGACGTGTATTGTTAGCTAAAGGCGAGTTAGCTAAGATGAATGGTGAGCCGCTCAGGGCCTGCCTCCGACATCCCGAGGGACAAAGATAAGAAGCCCCTATAATACACTTATTTTTCATCGAGGCTGCTGTAATATTTTTATTGACAACTGAGCCACCGGCTGAAAAAGAAGTTTCCTCCGAGTTTATTGTTCCGTACACTATAATACAAGTTATTTACTGAAATATAAATTTTAATTACTTACTTAAATGTCCGATATTAGTTTCTAAGCCACAATTGCAACTTTAAATAACTTTTGAAATAATTTGAAAAGTTTTGAAAACTGTGGGAACTTTTTGATTGGTTTATTAGAAGTGTTAGCGTATGAATAGTTACATTTGTTTGACGATGTAGTTTAAAATTGTTTTATTTTCGATTGAAGGCGTTTATAAAGTGATTTGGGAAATAATTATGTAATGTTGCAGTGCGGGATGTGGAGGTTGGCTACTTGCCAGTTAGGTTAAAGTAAAGGAGGGGTGGTAGCAAGAGAAAATCAAATTAAATGTAATTTAAATACACGTACGCATACGTACAAAAATCTCCCGTTACTGAGTGATTAAATACACACCCGAAATAAGTCGTAGTCATTTAAGATTATGTCGTGAAACCTCTTTGAGGAGATAAAATAATTTTCCGTATATCGAAGTTTTAAAGACATGTCTATTGGCGGGCGAAAACAAAGTTTAAAATTTACTTTAAACGAAAAAAAGAGCCGTTTTCAAGCATTTTCCTGCGTGTGTTTGTAAACAACTCTATTTAGAGAATTTCCGACTGCAGTTCACTCGGCACTGTAGTAAATTTAAGCCGGTATTCTCGTACTATGTCATTCATTCGTTGATTCCAGTGAAACCAATTGTAGCTTCATTCAGTGAAGCCCTAATTTCTAGTTCAGTGTCAAGTTATTTTCAGAGAGTTCAAGCACCTTTGACTGAATAAAGTTCTGGATGGAGTTCTGTGTAATTTTATAGGAATAGTTCTTTACGAAGTCAGCAGGGCTTTGACTGTAAACTTTTAATCCTCCAGGCTAACTATTATCTTATGCTAAATGAACGGATTTATTAGACATCTTTTGTTAGTTTAAGGAAGTGAGTTTTGTGATTAATAGTTTTGTGATTGCCGTCGTTACTTATATATTAATGATATTAGCTTCTCGTTCGATAAAAAGTATAGTTTATGTGTTATTACAGAATATAACGTATCCTTGACACTGCCTGGTTAGCCGAGTGGTCGCAAGTGCGACTGCCGGGCCCCTTGCCCGGCAGTCTCGAGTTCAATTCCCGGGTCGGACAAAGTATTACTGGGTTTAAAAAAATTGTCTGTCTGAATTGTACCCGGTATATGGCAATAGACTCACCTCCCATTACATGGGACTTATAACATATATAGTGAAAAGTGGGTGTTACCTACGTAGTACAGTTGCATTAAGTGCTGTAATGTGCACATCTGCCTATACCTTCGGAGATAAAATGCTTGATGTTATGTTATCTATCCCTGTTGTAAATATCATACAAACATACACATAAATATCATTTAATTATTAAAAAAGTACGAGGGGTGGTAGATTTTGGGGTAGAAAGGTGTCATGTCTTATTCATTGTATCTGATGATTTGATGAATCTATTTGCCAAATATTGGGAAAAATTATAATATGTTCTGATAATTTATAATAATAAGTAGGTAATATAGAAAGTCAGAATATTTATTGGAGTTTCGTTTTCACGATCAACTCATTACGGCCAAGTGTACATAAACTCATCAAATAAAGGTTAATTTTGTGGCGGGAAAAGAATTGTGATATTAAGGATTTTCTATTCTTAGTATCTAACTACAAAGTTTAGATTTGTATACATCATCATTTCATTGATAAAGTAAGACGTTTTAAACAAAAGCCTGTCGCATTTGTTTTAACGCGGTATACGAGCAGACGGATCTCCTGATGGTAAGCAATCTGCGTCGCACATGGACACCAGAGGTGCCCTGGGGTGTTACAAACGATACCGGCCTTTTGATTAGGAATTTGAGGATTATTGGGATCTGTAGATTGGGGATATTGGGAAGGGGGTAATTGAGCCGTTAACCTCATTCACATGACGGAACACAACGCAAATGTCGTTCACGTCGGTTTTCTGTGAGGCCGTAGTATCACTCCGGTCGAACCATTCATACCGAACCATGACACTTAGAAAGTCGCTTAAGAAACAATCTCATAATCACCACGTCTGGTAGGCGTATTGAAGATTGTAGAACGGTCTCTGAAATTAAAGAGGATGTTCTCCCCTGGTGTCTGTTCGAAGTTTTAGGATATACCCACGTAAAACACTTCCCTGTGGTTTTGCGTTGTTTCGTCTCAGTCCCACGGGACATGTACAATTGTAGCCGAATGTTTCACAGGATTAAATAAATAGAGAGTGTGAATTTTAAAGTAAATTTAAACTTTTCTTTCGGATAGTTAGCTTCTATCTCTTTGTGATATAATATGACGGCAATTTATTCTCATAGTCTGTGTTATACACTCGTGATAATTTTTTAAAAATAATATTTCCTAGAAGACTTATAGCTACATATAAAGTAATAGGGTAGTTTCTTGGATTTTGTTTCTGATACATTTGATTAAAACATTAGTTAAACATAGTTATGTATTTTCTTTTCCTAGGGCCGATTTTTCGATCATCAGTTAATTCTTAACTGTAGAATAAAATTGACATTTGACAGTTGTCACTATGGAAGACATGTCAAATATTCAAAGTTATTTCTCAGTTAGTATTTATCTGAGCATTGAAAAATTGCAGAATTAAATACTTTCGACGATATATTGATTCGAAATATTGAGTGACTTCACTTCACATTTTGAATAGCGGGTGTGATATTTTTTTTTATTATACTGTAGTGTGAAAGTTAGGGATGAATATAAAATAAAAGGTGTACGTCTGATTAGTCTGAAGGACCGGTTTATTGTAAGTCAACACATAGTATGCAGGGAACAATATTGATAAATAAGTATTGATAACTTGGCCGAGTGGTCGCAAGTGCTACTGCCGTGCAATGGGTCTTGGGTTCCATTCCCGAGTCCGGTAAAGTATAACAGCGTTTATTAAAAAAATCTCAGTAGTAACACAGAGTCTGGAATTGTGCCCGGTATATGGCAATAGGCTCTCCCCCTATTACATGGGACTCATAACATAAATAGTGATAAGTGGGTGCTACATTGTACAGTGGCATTAAGTGCCGCAATGTGTTATGTTATGTTGTGTTAAGTGTTAATAAGACCGATGGACTAAATGGATTTTTAACTTTAATACGCTATCAACTATATTGTGCGCGGTTTAACTAGTATCCTAAAGTTTACAAGGATAATTTAGTTTGTAGTGAAAGTGATCGTTTCGGTGGTTTTAGTTAGTTGCCCCAGTAGTTATGAAGTTGGCTTATCAAAGTTAAACCTAATCTCATGGTTGACGAAAATTAATAGGTGTTTTACGCAAGCGATTGTTACTTAATTGTTTTATCGTAAATTCAATACAATAATTTACTTTTATTAAATAAATTGACTAGAATAAGTATTACAGTTTTTACAGTTATTCGTGTCTCTGAGACGCGCTGGACTTCAGTGTTCCGGTGTTTTCATGGTTGTATCTACTGTTGATCTTGGCTTACAGGAGTTGTCGCGATTTTTGGGAGGTTGAGCCGGGCTTGTCCCAGGAAAAAAGTTTTGCATTTGCTTTATGTATGAGATACTCGGGCTAACGAGCATAGCACGAGCTATATATTATCGGTGATAAGCACTTCTTTTGAGGGGGAAGCCATCCAATTACTTCTCCCACGTAGGTGAGGCGAGAGGGAGTGTCAGACTCTTACTGACTAAAAAACACCTCGTTCCTATTCCTGCACTTCAAACAATCAGTGCTACCAAAGCACATCTGTAACTCCAGAGGAGTCACAAGTACTTTGCCTAGACGCGGTCTCCACTCCAGAACACGTCTACCCCAGCGGCCAACGGTTCTTCAACAAATGTGACCGGCCCACTGCCATTTCAGCTTGCTAATCGCTTGGGCTACATCGGTAACGTTCTCTGTTGGATCACCTTGTTACGGATCCTACCCAAATACCTAAATTGGTGGATCAGTCGCACTGGTAATGTTTAAGGCCTTATAAAAAAAATACCTTTGAAATAAGATGCGTTTCATGCTAGGTAGTATAGCAGCAGACTGACAAGAGATCGAGGATTAAATTCCCTGGTCTGGCAAAGTTTTA